AAGTAAATGTGTAACACTTAAAGGTAACAATAATGCAATTAAGTATCTGCTGCACCTACATACACTCACTGAGTCACTCACATACCATATATACATACATAAATAAATACTTACTATATACCTATAATGCTTATGGAAAAAGTCATATGTTTATAAGAAAAAAAGAAAAAAATAACAGTATAACAGATAGAAATAAATAATCTAATATTCACTTGTAATTTTACATGCATACATACATACGAGTATATACTACATATATGATATTTTACAATTACATAGCTGAATAAGAACTTTCGAATAAAATTACAATAAATAAAATTGAAATGATTAATCACAAGCGTAATTTATTTTGCATTTTTTACGGAATTCAAGTTGACTAACAGAGCTTGACGGCTGCTACACGGTCACTGAGGTGAGTACACATAATTCAAAAGACTTAAGACACGAACTCGATATCCGTAATATGCGGATTTCGTTGATGGCACGAATGTATAACAGTTACTGATTTTTGAAAATGAAATACAACGAATTGAAGTAGGGAGGRACATCAATTTTTGTGAAATTTGTTTAAAATATGGGCCTGGCTTACCCCTCTAATAAAGYTTAATGTATGTACATATCTACTAAACCATTCAATTTATAATAACCGAAATCRCTCAGGACAAATAGTTTTGGAAGGCCCATGAGATGAAAAAAGCTTAAAATTATTGAATTCGGATTATAATCCGGCCTACTCTCCACATAACGGTTTGTTCAAAAACTACCAARTAATGGCATACAAGCTTATAGTCAAGACTCCACTTCCTATTGCAAACTTATTATCGAAAATATCAGTCAATCTCTGCAGTCATTCTAGAAACTCGAAAGGTATCACTTCTTGAAAATATGGGGTAGTCGAAAAAGTCTTTTCGTATTTCGTCAATAGATGTTGTTGCAGCCGTATATCTCCAGTGCTGCCATATCATTGATGAGATTTTAAGCTTAATTTAACCAAAAAGAAAAAATAAGTTCCAGGAAATTGAAAAAAATGTAGAATTCGCTATATTTCGAAATTTTTTTTATAAAAAAGGGAAGAATGTCACACAAGCCACCAATGAAATTTGTGAAGTTTACTGAGACAATGCTGTATCAGTTCGTATAACACAATAATAGTAACGCTCGTTTCCGTTCTGGAAACTTCGAAATTTCAATTTACACTGATGGAATAATATCTCAAAAATGGCAGAAAGTGGACGACCAAAATGTATAATTATTTATTTATTAGTATAAATATAAAAAAAAGATAAGTTGAAATTTGATTAAAAATACGAAAAGGCTTTTTCGACTAACCAGGTTCATCTTTGTGTCAAAAACTAATAAAATTGGTTGGAAACTTGACTGACTTGACTTCATATATGAAGATTGGTAATGGTATGTAGGGTATCTTAATGAAACAAGGGACTTCATTTTTTGTAAAGAAATTCTCATAAAAAATTAAACTGTTTTATTTTGTTCTTACAAGTACTCTTTATTGCTTTCTCTTAAATTTGTTTTGGTTTTGAATTTTATAGCTTCTTTTTATAAGTTTTTTTTTATACTTTTTATACGTAAGTGCTTGTATTATATAAATATGTAAGTAGTGTTTCTTCTTAAATATTATCTGCTATATTAAATGTACATGTAATGTTGTTTGTGTAGAAATATATTTATAAATAAGTGTTTTTTTCTTTGACGAAAATAAACTAATTTTATTGCAAATATTTCGACATAATTCTATGCATCGTAGTACTCAATACAGCTATATAGTGTAAATAATGACTAAAATATTGACACAATGAAATGCTTAACCGAATCGTATAAATCCAATTTTTTTTTTTTATAAATTTCATTTAAAAAAAATTATATTTAATTGGAAAATAATATGTGGTGAAATATAATATGTATTCTTTGAGGAAACCTTGTTCGCTTAGAATAGTATGAGATAGTCAGACAGCAATTTTGTTATAGAAAAAGTTAGTGAAAATATTTGAGCCGTGCTACACCCTGTAATAATACCAACGCGTGAGAGAGTGTTCAATACTTGTGTTGAGACTTGCTTCAGAATAATCTATACCAGTTGCATCAGTGTTATCAGTGACCACTTTATAGTGATCCTATTTAAATAATTTCTTCGGAGTTTACAACATTGCCTTAAACAATAACCCATGCCGAATTTTGTGAAGAAGTCTTCTCGAATAAAAAAGTTTTCCATACAAAAACGTGGTTTCGATCGTTCAGTTTGTATGGCAGCTATATGCTATAGTGGTTCGATGGCGACGGTAACGACAAATGAGCAGCTTCTTGGAGAGAAAAGGGCGTGTGCAAAATTTCAGATCGATATCTTAAAAACTGAGAGACAACCGGACTGTGTATATCGAAAACATATATTGGGTAGTCGAAAAAGTTTGTTCCTATTTCTAAACACACTTCAACTTATTTTTTATATTTGCAATGAAACAAATATGTACCATTTTGGTCGACCACTTTTTGCTTTTTTCCGCTAGAGACATTAGTCCATGTCATGTCGTGTAAAAYTYTTCTGGTTTCTCGGCGAAAAACTGCGACAAATAATTTTCACAGGCTTCTCTTGAAAGCAATTTTACTTCATTAAGGGAGTTCGGCCTTAACCGAAACAAACGGTAGTCCGTTGTTGCAAGGTCAGGGGTATATGGTGGATGCATCAGAACTTCATAGCCAAGCTCTCCCCGTTTTTGCCGARTCATAAAAGATGTGTATGGGTCTAGCGTTGTCTTGATGGACAGTTCTGGCCGTTTTATTTTTTCGATTGCTTACTTCAATCTCTTCAGTTGTTGACAGTAAAATGTAGAATCAATCGTGCGACCAGGCTGGAGCAGCTCATACTGGATGATTACTTCCCAATCCCACCAAACACTCAGCTTAATCTTTTGAGGCGTCAATTATGGCTTTGAGAGCTTCACCACGCTTGGACCATGATCTGTTTCGCACATTATTATTGMATTTTATCCATTTTTCATCTCCTCTGTTACCATTCGCTTCAGAAATGGTTCAATTTCATTTCGTTTCAGCAAAKAATCACAGATCGATATAATACAAAATATGAAAAGACTTTTTCGACWACCCAATATATAAGTTAGTAGTCTTGTATGGAATTCTTGCTGAGTATTTTGTGTAGAAAGACTAAGGCAAACTTAAATGTGCTTTAATATTAGTGATGCGAAAAATTATTTTTGAAAATTTTGCTTCGTCAAACTCAATTTCAGAACTAAACAAATTATGTCCGTTAGTCTGTCAAACAGTTTTCATTGTATTTTTGATGTTTTTCCAATTGTTTATATGCCACCTATATATAAATGTTTTTTGGTGTGTATATGCTAACACTCACTTGTACTCTTAATTGCTTTATAAAAAAAATATTAGTGTTAATCAAGTCAGTGCATGTACAGACCCACCACATAAATACATACAATTGTGGGTATTWTTCTAGCGCGCCTTGCGAACGCTCTCATCTAAGGCAACCGTTTGTTTTTGAGTTCATGCACTTTTTTGATTTTGACCGTACTCTTTTGTGCTAAGTTTCTTTGATTTTACATTTACATTTACATAAAATACTATAGTTATTGCTGAACGCTTATAAATTTGAGCATAATTTTGCYTTAGCATACGCATGCGCAGAACTGTCACTCCACTGTTTTATGCTCAGCCTGTTTCGCTCTTCTACTCGCACGCGATTTTACCATCGAAACTGCTCAAAGCTATGGCGAACGCTTGCAGTGCGCACAGTGGATAGCGATAGTCCATGGTGAAGACGTCTTCGGAGGTGCGCCCGAACTGCATGACTATATAATCCGGATCCGAATCGTGTACGAGTTGGAAATTCTTAACTGATGCTTGTGTGACGCGCCCGTGAAAATTTAAGACATAMGATTGTGTCTCATCGTTCCATACGGGTGTCTTGTTGTGCAGCTCAACGATTGTGTCCATGTTCTGGTGTSGAAAATCAAAGTATTACGTAAGTAKAGCTTAAAATGGAACACGACGAATTACGAAACTAACCTTAACTTTCCATAAGTCTAGTATACCCTGTTGTTTGGGATCGGCGGAGCTAATTTTGACGCGTTGATCTTCCTCCGTCATGCCGGGCAGTATCACGGTCATATTGCGTGGACCTTTGAAACCGAGGATATTGGTGTCCTGCAAATAGAGAAAAAGATATTAACACATGTATTTCAAGACGGATGGAACGAAGTTAAGAGGAAAGGTAGAAGTCGGAGTCTKTTGTCGGAAGCTCTCCATCGACTTTTATTTCCGACTACCAGAGTTACACATCTTTCAAGCAGAAGTGTATGTCATCAAGGTATATAGTTGGATGCCATCAAGTTATCGGTGGATGTAGAGCTTCGAAGAGCCGAAGCGCTATACCGGCTTTGTGTTTGCTAATTGTGCGCTCAAAACTAGTTTTGGAGTGGAACCGTAAGAGGTGCTCGAAACCACTGGCTCTTAGGAAAGTCAATCTTGCCGCATCTGTTGGTGTTCTGACACTGTCCATTAGGTTTATAAGCCATGCGGTTAAATATTCCATCGGAAGTTGTTTGTCAAAACTGTATGAAGGAAATCGTGCTGGAACCATCTTGGCACTTTTTCTTTCATTGCAGGGCTTTTGCCAGACTGAGATTGAAATATCATGGGGAAAAACCTTTGGAGTACCTAGACTTAATAAATTTGTTGTAAGCTCAAAACGTTTCGTCGATCGATTAAGATCTGGTGAACGACTTTTGGGAGTTTATGGGTAACTCAAAGGACAAATATCTGTTAAATGAGATTGGTCGATTTTGGATCAATCCCACGATCTAGCCGAACCAAAAATTGTTTAACAATGTTAGATTTTAGATATCTTAAGACTTAGTAGCGTACCAAAAGTTATTTTAGAAAGTTTAAATAAGACTGTAATATCCCCATGTTGCATTACTGCGACCGTGGTGGTCATATCATCTAAGAGTCAATACTCTACGTGTCCACTACTTATGCAGATTTGATTTGAGAACCTCTCCATGTCTCCTTTTAACCTTTTCTAATATTCTATTTTAGTTGCTGTTTCATCAGCCTTTTGTAAGGTCGGCTAGGAACCCTCACTCTTATCACGTCGACCCCCYACAATGTTACTTACATAGATAATAACCGCCAAATCGAGTCGTGGATTTTCCGTGCTATCCTTGTTGCCATTATCGAATACGGTAAAGGAGGTACCGAACACATTTGAACGCAACTTTCCACAAAAACCCTCGGCGTTACGTGACAAGTCCGTAGGATCGCAGCTGATAATATAATTGGATGTTTTGCTCTTCTTTCGCTTGCGTCCTGAAAAAAAAATATACATATAAAGGAGTCCCAAAAAATGGAGCATATTTTCCATCACGCTTACCGCCCAAGAGAAATATTTTCTTGCCGTAATCGCGYTCTAAATGCAAATAATAGATCGGAAATAGGCCACGATCCATGCCTTTGCGATCACGCGTTATGCGACATTTGAAAAGTACACCCTGCGACGCTGGCTGCATGACGAACTGTTCGATGTTGCCGACAAGATCACCCTCCGGGTCGCCGCTGCCGTCCGCTGACGAATTGGTTTGCTGCGCACTGTTCGAATAGTTGGCAGTGTTATTAGCCGAACCGGCGCCTGTCGAGTGCGCCGAAGTGCTGCGTGCACCGACGGCCGAATTGGTGGTGGTGTTGGTTTGTGATGCGATACTATTGGCGATGCTGTGATTCAATGGCATGACGGGTGCCGCTTCCTCGATATTCCGATTCACATAATCATCTTCGTCCAATGTGCTGCTATCCTGTTCGTGACTATATGAGCGTTGTTGATGTTGTTGTAGTTGTTGTTGTTGGCGTTGCTTTTGTCGTTGACCATTGCTGCTGACATGATTGACGGGACTGCTTTCSTCATCTTCGAGTTCGTGTGAGGAAATCTCTTCGATTAAATCTGTAGGCACAACGGAAGATGTGTAAAACAAAGTGATAAAGTTAAATTGGAACTTTCAAAAGCAGAAAACAAAAACCACAACGCCTTTGTATTTCATTTATTTACCATCCTGATTGATGATATGTCCTGTCATCTGGGCTGTCCGCGGGCGCATATTGTTCGTAAAGCTGACACCATGCTGACGACCATTCGGGGTGGTCGCATTGTGGCTGRCGTTGACGGTGGTCGCGTTCGTATTCGTAGCTGTGATGCCGGTGGTGTTACTTAATAATTGATCGGGATTGTGGGGCGAACTGATGAATTGCATTGGACCATCGTAGGCATGCAGCTCGCGGCCAGTGGCCGTTGATGTGCGCAGCCCCGACATGGGACGGGTTATTTGTAAGTCACTTGCCTGCACCATGCCCGGCGAGGCGCGCTTTTGTCGTATGTACGCTTCCATTAGCAGGCGCTGCAACACAAAGTATAAGAAGGCTCATTAATATATGTATGAGAGAAATAAAAGTTAACGAATATTGTCGAAATGGCAGCCACTGGGACTCGTATGCAATCATAAACTACTGTGAGCCCTGTGAGCTCAGAAATTGTATATATACATATGTATCTACATATACAAGTATTACTCTTTTTGTTTCTTCCATCAATTACCTTTTTCTTTTCACATATATTATGTAAACTTATTCCTCAGAGGTGCCCTATTCTCTTAGGACCGTTATTAAGAGAACATACTAGTTGTTTGGGTTGGGATTAAATTYAAGAAATTTCCGCTCAWATGATATAATATGTGTAAGCTAACAAAATAAAGCGGCTTATATTGATGTAAGGGAGCTATTGGGAAGGCGTGGGAGCTTTAAGGCACTGCAAAGCTGGATATATGAAAGGCTCCGAACAAGSACTCGCYCAAATTCTTCCCTACTTCTACTGCATTCCTGAAAAATTAGATCACTGTGTCACAGAGGTCATTGGTGGCGGCTTTTTCTCTGCCCTCCTCGACGAGGCAGATGTGGCTTTGGAGATGTCGCTAGAGAAGGGGTGCAGAAATTTTTTTACGGATGGGTCGAACCTAAGAGGGAATATTAGAGAGCTCGTTTTCTGTAAGGATCACTTCTTCAACATTTTCTGTGCGACCGTTACATCCTTCTCGCCTAGAGTAGAACGCAATAAGTCTACTGAACTACTTGTCCTGATCGAAGTTGCCTGTCCAAACTGTGGACGTAGCCCTTACGATCGACCTCTTAACCTAAACTAACCTAATCTACATATATTCCATGGAGCTCGAGTGTTTTTAGACACCATTAAAAACTAGAACATTGAAAAAACAGTGAGTTTTTTTTTTAGAGTCTCTACGCTCTGAGCCTTATTTTTGTTTGGTATAGTGGGTGTTAGTTAGTCGTTTTAGGATTTTGTAATCTCAAATTCCGCTTCAATCAACCAAACTCTTTTATTGGCGAACCTCAACTGACCTTTAAGTRTATAATTATTGTTTCAACTACTTTCAGATCAAAATTGTATAATTCTTAGATCCTCCGTGTCGTCTGATTCCGGTTAAAGCCTGACACCAGTCTGTGAGTTTGATGTGTGCTCAACTGGTTGTAGCAAARGCTCCAAGCTCTGACCGGAGACTTAAATCTGATACCACGGCGAGCAGTTAGAACTTGGAGTTCACTCCAATCTACTAATTATGCTTGGCCTTTGGAGAGATTCTTGGTGGCTGTGGTTTAAACCTAAAGGCAAGTGAAATTGAAAATTCAATTTAGTGTGGAGTCGCACGGCGGACGGGTGCCGGACCTGGTAGAGGTTTTAGATTGACCTCGAACCCGACCAAGGTGGAAAAGGTGTCGTTTCCACCTGACCAATTGAAACAARATATWGTTTTTCTTTACTGGCGTGGAAACCGCTCACGCGGTTATAGCCGAGTTAACAACAGTCGTTCTTCTTTTCGCAARTTGGCGGAAATTGGATATTTCAAGCGAAGACAGGTCTCTTCGACGGAGTGGAGGTTCTCCCCTTCCTCTGCTTCACCCGGCGGGTACTATGTCGAATACTTTCAGAGCTGGACTGTTTACATTCATTCGGATGACATGACCGAGCCAGCGTAGCCACTGTCTCTTAATTCGCTGCAAGGTGCCTTCCAAAGTAAACAGGATTTAAAAAACAACAGAACAAATGGTTTTTTCGGTGAAATCAATTTATTTTATGCAAAATAGTCTCTTCTGCTTCAATACGGTCCAAGAGCATGTCGAATAAGGGTTTTAGCTCGTTGGCGGGTATGGTCGCCAGTATGCCGGTGCAAGCCGTTTGAATGGCCTCTACGTCTTCTACGAGTTAGGTTTTTGTTCGTCGAGAGAGGACTTTGGAACCAAATAATACTTACAAAAAGCATGTMTTGTTTGGGACGCTGATCAACACATTGCTTTGGCCTATGCGCTTTTAAGCACCGTRAGGTWAGGCCGTCAACGGCATGTACTCACGTAAAACGCAACGACTCTTGTTAGTCTGTACAAGCTGAACGAGAGAAGTCAAGGTCTTGTAAGAAACCTTTTGTATTKGTTAAGGTTTTTACAGCTTCGATACAACCGCAGTTATCGCTTTTTCTTGTCTTTGGTGTGTGATATTTTTTTCAGTGTATGCCTATTCAGCGAGTGCCTATAGCAATTGAACTGTTTCACTGTTTACACATGAAGTACAGCGCGCGTATTCCAGTTTTGGGGAGAAAAACAAGTGACTATTGAAATGCATACATACATACATACATACATTTCTACATGTACAGCAAATGCGCTGCAGGTGCAACACAACAAAACAATTAGTGAATGTATCAGAGAATTTGCCATGTAGCGCGAATTGAATCACATCAAAATGCATGGAAAATTAAATGAAAAGTGGTTAAAGCCGGATTTTTTTAAATTTAATTTTTAAAAAAATTGGGATTTTGTTGTTGCGCAAGCATTTTTCTGCGCACAAGCGGGCATTTGTTGAAGGCTTCCATTGAACGGGGGCGAATTTCAAGTTCAATGAGGGAAGCTAGCGAGGTTGGCTTGTCACACACACGCTCATATACACGTTATGTGTGAGTATGCCCCAACCTGACAGCGCTGCCAGTCTTTTTTTTGTGCTCATAAGTATATGTAAATATGTTGTTATGTGTAAGTGGATTGCCTTCGATATCTCTACTGCTGTTTTTGCAGTTTTTTCGATGTTATTGTTGTTTTTGCTGTAAGTGATAAATTGCAATYGATGTCAATATAATTAATTTTAATGGTTTCGGACATGATTTCTTCATTTGCGCATGAGATCAGGAATTCACACATACCACACATAGTTACTCGTGTATATTACACTTGTGTGCCTTGTAAACCAATCCACATACATATGCATTTATGTATGATTTGAAAATATACCTACTTACCCTGTAAGTATAAAAAAACATATCTTTTAGTCCCTCATGTGCTGTCGTAGACTGTATTTGCCACGTTTTGTTCAAACCCATTTTCGAAGAAGGCAATTTTGCTTGTTTACATAACCACTGAGACAGAAATGAGTCTAATCGCTGAACAAAATTCGGCTCGAAAACATCGGATCTTCTTGAAACGTTTCAAGAGCCCATAGAGCAAAGCACTGTCACTTGGGAAGGTCAAGCGGCTTCAGGTTTTGCACAAGCTGTATCTTGTACGCTTTCAATCTAAGATCACAACGTTAAATCCCCCAAGTCGTTCTATATGTCGGTACGAATTACTATTGAGTATCTCTACTTGGATCACTCGTTATATTTGTGAACAAACTTCAAAAAGCTGATACAAATATCTACATATATCATGCGCTAAAACCTCTAACCTTTATTTGATAGATTCGTGGACGTTCTTCAATCGTGTTAGAAATAATATCATGAAATCACAAATATGGTAGACAAACGACTATTGTATCATTTTTCCTTATCAGCTTCTACAAGAACCTTGTAAAGTTGTGGAGTTTACTGCCAAGTTTATGCTTAAAGAAAATCGGCACGTTTTCTTGYCATTGCCTCCCGAGGAGACCCCCCTTAAACCAATATTTTTGCACTAATATATGTTCTTTCAGAGAAGTATGCATTCATTCCGATAGCCGAGTTGCTATATGGCTGACTTTCGCTGACTATCYGCTCAAAAGTAAAAAAAGACTTCAAGCATTAGCACTAGCTTCTTACATACATATTAGTCTTGTAGGGTTGTCGGTTSACAGCSRAATTGTCAGACACKGCAAAGCCGATGAGCTTGSTAGAGAGGGTACCYTTTTGGTATTTTGGTACTTTAGTGAGTGGTCAGAGGGCACTGCAAGAGGTCGTCCGAACTATTGGCTCTTAGCAAAGTTTTGGCGTTTTCTTCTTAAGAGATTAAAATATCTTTAAAATATCTTTGTAGACCTAACTTTGGCGAACCTAGCGAAGTGGCTGGGATTGGTATTAAGTGCCTTAATAAATTTTTGATGAACTTGAAACGTACCATCGAGCTACATATATGGAGCTTGTGATCTACTTTTGGTAGTTTTAGGGTAACACAAAAGACGCATATCCAAGTGAGATCCGACGAATTTGTATCAACCCTATGACCTAGCTCAATCTAAGCTTCTCTTGTTGCGGAACAACCTCATGACGGACTTCGACACTGGGAGCCGAAGCTGTGCCAAATACGATACGTAATGGTCAGTATTGAGCACACAGCTGATAAGATTCAAATGTAAATAAAAACGAGTAGTAATGGCCAGGCGAACATTGCTAATGAAATCGAGTACGCCGAGGCCAAAACAGAAAACAATACAAATTACAACAAATACCTTTTAGAGCAAATAAAGCAATTAATTTACGGTTATCAAACATGATTTATGAACATATGTATGTGTGTATGTGTAATGCCGTTAAAAATATTAAAAACAACTGTAGATTGCAAACTCAAAACATTGTTCCATACCAATCAAAAAGCCATATCTCTGTCTACTCACGTTCTTTACGCTCGTACAGGTGTGTATACCGCAATTTATTTGCACATAAGCGGAAATTGTGGGTAGTTTTGGAAAAATCAGGGAGCTCAGCGACTTGTTGCTAAATGCCAAAAGCAGCCACAACCACGTATCCCCACTCGTAAACCTCTATAAACACGAGCTATGTACTCGTATCACCCGTTCAACACGAGCAGCTTTTGAAAACGTGCAAAGAATGCTGACTCGCCAGCAGCGTTATCGCTTTGTTGTTGTACAAGAACACACGTGATCATCATAATTGCCACACATAATTGAATGATTATTTGCTGCTCGCTATTTATTGGGGTTTATGAACTCATAAATCTTTAATTAGGTGATGCGCGCGGTGGCGTGCAAGGAAGCGATTGCCGAGGGCTTGTTGATGTATATAATAGTTTCGTGTAATCAGAGATACCGTAATTTGCTGTATTTCATAATTAAATTGCATAAAATGCCTCAAGTGTATCTGATCTGTGTAGCTGAGCTTACAACTACTTCGTTATGAGTTTATGGTACACAGATTTATATAGAAATTGTATCATACTAATTCCAAAAATGTCGGTAATTTTAAGGTAAGCATCTCGAATAAACTTTGCGCACGGAAATTATTAAATTCTTCTGTGTGAGACTGAAATTATTTCTTAGTGCTAAGTACTAACTATGGCTTCTTCTTTATTGGCATAGAATTGGAGATTCCGAGTGTAGTCAAGTCCTTCTCTACCTGGTCTTTCTCTGCTTCTAATGGCGGGTACTGCGTCGAATACTTKCAGAGCTGAAGTGTTTTCATAAATTCGGACGACACGACATTTCGGCGTTGCCAATGCGCAAAATACCTTAAATCCTCCGCAAAACCTTAATCTGGAAAACTCGTAACCCCGACTCATCAGATGTTGTCATCTTCCATACCTCTGCACCATATAGCATGACGGGGATAATTAGTGACAAGTTGGACTATTCGAATACTCCATAACTTGCTTAACATTACTGCACTGAAATACTATAGAAACCGGTCCAAGRGTTAGATGAAATGCTGAGCCGTAAATATAATATCGTGTTCACTGATCGTTTTTTGGTCAGGGAATTTCTCCAAAGAATTGAAAGTAAGGACTCGGAGTGAAAGTTTTTGGTTGAGAGCGCTGTTGAAATTGAATTAAACGAGAAGTAGCTGCAAAGTTCTAGAAGAAAATGTAGCTCATGAGGTATGGGTCGGTTCTATAAAGGAAAGAGAAATATTTCGGTATTTATGACAAAATTTCTACTGTGAAAGTTGTACTTTTCGTATACTCCTTAACTTGCTGCGAAAAAGAGTATCCAGTCTAAGGGTTAGATAGAATTTTAAATTGTGAATTTTATATAATTCAATGAACGCCACTCGGTCAGAGCATTCTACACAAATAAGCAGTGATAATCAACCAAGCAATCTGAAATTAAGGACTCGCAGTTAAAATTTTTGGTCGCACCTGCCCCACTATACAAAAGTCATATTAGAATTTGGCGTTAGCAGGTTAATGCACACGCTTCCGCCCCCAGTATGTTGTACGATTGACATTGAATTTTGAATTTTAGCATTGCCRCTAAGCGCAACAAAGGTCATTAAGTCGGGAGTGGGGCGCGCGGGTAAAGTGCGCATGCTTATTGCTACTAATTCATTTGGAAATGTGTGGTCATGTGGTTGAACCTTCGACGGTTGATGGCGCAGTATAGCGCTCACCGAAATTATTCACTTGTTTCATTTACAAGCGTTTTTGGCTTAGTGCTGATAAGCGCGGTACAATTTGTGTGCCGATTGTTGCTTTTGTTGTTATAACTAGGTGACGATATAGTTTGTGGGAAACTTTAAAGCGATCAGTGCATTTTTCGACGACAAACGAGCACAACGAATAAGTCGCGAAAGCGCAGCGAGTGAGAATAATAAAAATATTACAAGAAATATTTAAAATAATAAAAACAAAAATAAAAAAAAAAACATAGTGAAGCAAACAACAAACGTTGTCATAAACTTTTATTAACGATTTTATAAAAATACCGTTTGTTGGTAGCAAAGCAAAATAGCTCATAAATCTTAAACGATAGAAATATACACATAAACTTTCCTCAGAGACCCGCGTAGTTGATAAAACAACCTTCAGCTAATCTGCGGCTAAGATAAGCAAAAGCGCGCAGGTGAAAACTTGAAAACTTAAAACTCAAAGATATGAATAAATTCGCGGTGAACGCGCAGACAGTGCGCGATTAAGTGGACARCAGGCATAGTGTGCGCGAGACACCAGCGCTAGTGAAAACGCSGCGTCAAGGACAACACCTAAGCGCTGCGYTTACAGTTTTTAAAATTCTTTTTGAAAAATATAGACGCTTAAATTAAAGTGTACAGTTTTTGTAGCGCGCTACTATGTTTTCGCTCGCTAAACTCTGCGCGCTCTGCGCTGT